AAATGCTGCATGAAAAGACTCACAGATTTGCTTCCTTTGCCTGTCTTTTATCCTGTCTCTCCTTGACTCTCCCTAAGCCAACTCAGGAAGCATTTATCCCATCTTCTCTTATTCACAAGCCCCACAGGTTGCTGGAAATATCTTTTTTTGCTAGTCAGCACCCATGCCTTAAACGCATCTAAACGTTTTATTCTTTCAGATCCTCATTATCTTCCCTGCCCTGCGTGTCTGCAGTGGCACTTGAACATAATATAAATAACTGAAACATATATATCTCCTAATTTATATATGTCTACCAGAAGATTCACATAAATAATGTCTGTTTTAAACATTCAGTATCATTCAGGGCAACAGACATTTACTGAACCAAAATTTGTACTATGCATAGTCCCTAATCTCATGAAATTCCCAATTTGTTGGTTTAATTTTATTACATCACAGTATTTTCCAGAACGCATACACTTAATAAATGCTTTTGTATGTTGTTGATGAAGATAAGTTCTATTCACAACAAAGTAAACCAACCACTCCATGTTTTCTAGTCCAGAAACTTGGCAGGCGAAATGACTATCTGAATTGTTCCTTTCTGCATCTAACTTCATTCATTTAACCTCTTTCCATATCCTCCTCTGCTTTATGTCCCTAGGAATTAAGATTTTGGATACTAACATGGGGAAGCTACCCTTCTTTTAGAGCCCACATTTGGAACATTTATAAACAGCTACGTTCTTACTTAACACTCCATTCGTGTGAGCAGCTAGACGATGCTTCTTGTTTGGTTAAAAAAAACAAGAAAAAACTCCATTTTAAATTGTGAAGTTTCTATAGTCTTTCAGAACAAGGCAGTTATTTAAAATTTTTAGTAAAGCACAAAGAGTCCTTGGGGAAGCCAAAGAAGATAAAAGAATTCTCAGCACACTGTACACTTTCAGAAGAAAAATATTAAGAATAAAAATAGTTTCCCAACTCAGTCATTCTTTGGGATGGATAATTTATTCCTGATGGTCCCCCAAAAGACGAGAAGGGAAGAAAAATAATATATTTGGCTCCTGTAACAGTAATTATTCATAGCTCTTTTCCCTCATAAAATAATGAACTATTAGATCTCCCATAAAATCCCTTTCAGCAATTTTATGGTAGGTCTGCATTTTATAATCCATGTTTTGTAACCAAGAAAAGGAAAAAAACCAAAAAACAAAAAGAGGATTATTTTATGATAATTCACTTCACTGATTTTTATTAAATTTCCAATTCCAAACTTTTCATCCCTCTTATAAAAATTTATTAGATAGACCCTATTTGAGATTCTTAGAAGTGTAATTATTAAAACTGAAAGTTTCTTGACTGCCACCTACTGGTAAGAAAACAGTGCCAACTTATTTTAAAAGTTCTGTATTTCCTCTGTTTCCAGTTTAGGGGTTTAAATATTTAACATTTAAAAAAAAAAAGTGGAATGTTGGACATATAGGACATTTTGTATGTTTAAGCTCAAATTAACTGACCATGTATTAGTAGATTTCAAAACAACTGAAATGTGATTTTTCCTTTTTACAATTTAATACTTTTCCTAGAATTATTAGTAGAAGTCACATAGATGGATTATAGTAGCTTGATTTAAAGTTTGTTTTTATAGACATGGGTGCTAGTCTAACTGATGATGAAATGAAAGGTTACCTCAAGGTTAGCCAGTCAAATCAAACAGAGAACATAGGGTGACTGACTCTCACGAGGGATGTCATTCACTGTAGCCTTATAGACAAATAAACTGCGGAAATCAGAGGACAGCTCCAGTAAGAGGTAGATTATACAATGACACGTGTAACCAGAATTTTTCCAGGTAATAAATTAGCTGGAGGGGGAACATTTATATATTCCCCATCCCCCTTGCATATAGAAAGCACTTAGTCATTTGTAATTAGTGAAACATACCTGGCTTAAAATGTGGTAAAGAATGAACTCCAGGCCACGTGTCCTCATTTGGCGTTCCAAGAACCTAGTGGAGAGCAGACTTATTATTTCCAAAGCACTCAAGATCCTCCAGTGTAGAAAACAGTACGTTGCATATGATGAAAACTCTGGGTTTTTTTCCCATTATCATGTGCCAGGGATTTTATTTCAGTAAAAACAAACCCGGCTAAAGAGCCACCCAAGTCGAACGCCTGTGTTTGAACAAATGTAGCTGAATGTGCTGAGGCAAGTTAAATCTGCTGCGTTTTATCAACTCCAGGCTTACTACGTAGGCTCGGGACTCAAAGGATGAGCTGTCACTTTCATGGAACTGAAAAAGTATGTGTCTTTCCCTCATGATTCTTTCATGAGCTTTTGTCCTTCAGTCCAGGATCAACATGTCATCATTTAACAGTTCGAAGAATTCTGTCATTTCTTCCCCCACATCCTCTGTCCGGGAATCAGAATGTTTCAAAGAAGCAGGACAGACAGCTGGGACACTCACATTCTCTACTGGCCGCACTATTCGTTACAGTTAACACCTTTAGTCACATGATTTATAGTTTTCTCATCCCCCAACACTGTTCTCCCTACACTCTCATCTTTTCCTATCCACACCTCCAGCTTCTTTCCCCATCCACTTTTCTATCCCCACAATGTCTGATCTAGTCAAAGGAATGAAAGGCAATTCCAGCCCATGTATAACCTTGTACACTCTATTTGAATTTCCAGTTCCACCATCTATTACTATTATACTCAGTGTCTTGATAAATCACCCACAGAGAACAGCAGAGTTCAACGGTTAAGAGTTCAGATCATGCAGACAGACTTTTGGAGTTCAAATCCTTGGTCCCCTACTTACTAGCCATGGGACCTCACAGAGCTTCACTTCCCACTTTGCACACCGGGGATGATGACAGCCCCTGCCTCATCTGTGGCGAGCACACCACCTGGCATTCAAAGCACCCACAGAAAATGGGGTCAGATCAGGGAGATGCTGGCCACATGGGAGAATCTAGCCCATCCACTTTCTCCACAGGGACTCCTTGATCTGGGGAGTCAGTGCCAAATGCTGCAATTTCAACCATGGTGGACAATACGGATAGTCAAACAGGTTAGAAAGGGGAAGACATAAAGCCAGAAGCTAGCAACCTTGGAGGAATGGCAGAGATCACAGGAGGAACCGACACCTGTTCCCCTTATCTCTGAGGATTAGTAGGTGCTACCAGGCAATTAGAAGACAGAGCTTCAGCTCTTTACACCTTGTCTTAGGAGCGGGGGCAGGGCCGTGATGTCAAGGCAGGTGCACATACAGTGAGCCCTTCACTCACCGCTTCTGACTCTGGTGAATCAGGGCTCAACAGATGTATTAGGTTCCTCATTGAAACACGGAATCTGGGCTCGGGGGACCAGATAATACAATTCTTTACAACTGCATTGGTTAATCTCGCAAGCATTTAGTAACGCTAACATTAATAGGCAGATCTACACAAACAAGGTCACACAGTTGATGGGCTGGGTGGGAGCAGAATGTGACAGACAAGAGGGCTTGAAGTGCTCTAAGACAGAAGAGGGACCAGGACAAGTGGGACATGAACAATGGTGATAACAGTGTCTCTGCAAAAGGCATGTCCTCCTTTCTCTTCACTAAGTTCAACTGTTAGTTCAAGAGAGGGAGTAACCAGGCCTGCAGGCAGCAGTAGTCCCTCCACTTTGAGCTCCCCCGAATTCTTCATGAAGGACAAAGGGGTTCGATGGAAATAAACTTCTGAAAATGAAGGGAGAAACTCTCAGCTCAAAATCACATCTCGGTCACAATCAACCCATCACACGTGAAACAGACCTTCTAAGGTTTTATAAACAATGAAAAGTCTAGCCAGAACGTGAAATTCGTTCTCTCCCTCCTAATTAAGGTATGGTTGATACCCTGACTGTACCTGTGTCTACAATGTTTGTGTGAGCAAAACTTTTTCACAGACACTACCCCATCCATATCCAGTGCTCTGTTTCAAAGTGATCATCAAATATTATGTCCATTTCATAAAAACTACCTGCAAGAAAAAAATATGTAAGACTTGTTTTGCGTCATGATAGCATTGACTGATGAAATTCCAGACCTCAAACTATTCTCCAAACTGTCTACGACTCTTAGGCCATTTGCACAGGAAATAGAAAGTGGGCAAAGGAAAAGAAGAATTAAACATCAACGGTGCTTCCTGTAAAAGCCTTTTTAGGAAAGGCAATCTGGGCTACGTGTGTGGTGAGAGATGACAGGCTACTTGTGCTCTAGGGCGAGTGGGTGTGTGTTGTCTCTGATGTCAGATTTTCCTTTATATTAATTGACTAAGAAATTCCACTACCAAGACACTTTAAAGTTAGAAGGAAAAAGAGGTGTTCTCTAAAAGTGAAAAAGTAATCTTTTGCAAATAAAACAGTGCAGGAGAAAACTGCATCCCAACATTTAAAATGTGGCTTCCTCATCTGTAAATAAGCAGGTTTAAAACATCTGAGGTCCCTCTGTCTTAAAAGGACACATCGTGATATGCTAAAAAGTCTCTCTTCTCAGTAGAGGATGACACTACCTGACCCTGATGAACTGTGGTTTAATCACCCCAAACTCACTCTCTGGTCTTACACATGTGCTGATGGGGCGGCATCAATCCTGCCCGGTGTGTCAGCCTCTCTGCTGGGCGCAGGAGGATGCTGAGAAAAAGAGGGCCTCTCTGCTGAAACATCTAATTTCTAAATAACAGAAGAAAAGTGAATGCCAAACTTCCAGAGCTCAGAATTCAAGAATTAGTGTTTGTCAGAAATATCTACTTGCCCTTGCAAGTTATTAAGTGTCACTAATTCTCACATTTGCTAGTCTTTGCTTCTGCACAGGCCCCAGGCTAAAAATGAGCCCATGGGCTTTCCCTGAACAATGCCTGTGGTTGAACAGAACAAGGACTGCTAATAGTTTTCCTGGGTCAAGGGGTCAGCGAAGTCTCTAGCAGACTCCAGCTCAGAGGAATTCTGGCCTCTCAGATGCAGATAAAACCGGCACACACAAGTATGTGCTAATGACGTGATTGGGGTGGAGCGTGCTGGGTTCCCGGTTTGGAGTCGTCAGTTTTATGAGCTGGGTGTTCCACGTGGTGGTGATGCTTTCAGACTGGCTTAGCAAGGGCCCTCAGGACACGCAGAGCAACCCAGTAACTTTAAGCATTTTGAAACTGACACTCTCAAAGTCCCCACTTAGAACGTCTCTACAACAGTGATAGCTTCAGAGCTGTGCTACTTTAGGTTCTGGAAAAATTATTTTTCCTGGTTCCTGGTGAGAAGTCCTAAATGGAACTCGTGAAGAAGCTCAGCAGAACTCAGCCTGGGTATTACACACTCCGCTCTGGAACAGATGGTGTAAAGTTCAAAGATGAGCCAGGGAGAAAGCAGAACCTCCTAACTCTCATCCTGCATGTGTGCTATCCATCCAGAAAAATAATTACCAAGCGGGTGGAGCTGGAGCTCAAAATCAAGTTGGTTCGATTGAAAGACTATGCTGTTAAGAGCTGTGCTTCCTGGGCTCCCAGAAGGATCAGAGAATGTGGCTCAGATGGTGTGAAATGATTCAGCGCCAACTAACCAGACTCTAGAAGGAGGTATTAAGTATGAGGAGTAAGGCTTTTTTCCATTCTCTCTCTAGTCCAACACATACATACACACACACACACATTCACCCACATTAGACATTAGATACCAGTACCAACCTCTTTGGCATTTTCATCAGTGACTTAAAGGAAGACACAGAAAAATATCTTACATTCTCAGATACCATATAATAGAAGGGATGTGTAATATTCTCATAGCTGAGCCAGGATTAAAAATACTTAATCAGGTAGGAGCCACTGGCTGAACCTAACACAGGGAATCTTAACAGCAATAAACGTAAGTTCGGTATTTAGGTGCTATTAATTAATTGCTCAAGATGGTAAGACCAGGCAGGCAACAATTTGTATTTAAAAAAAAAAAAAGACCCAGGGCTTTTAGCTGAGTACAAACTCCACTGAGACCACCCAATGGAAATAAAAGCGGGTGGGGGTGGGCTGACTTAAGGTGGTCCCTTAATCCCTGACACTGGGTGTTCATGTCCCATCCGTCTCTGAGTGTGGATGGGACCAGTGACTTGCTTCTAACCTACAGAATACAGCCCAAGTAATGAGATGTCACTTTTGTGCGTGAGAGGCTGACTCCGTTTTGCTAGGGGACTCTCCCTCAGTGGCTTTGATGAAGCACGCAGTCAGATTAGGAAGACTGTAAGGCAAGGAACTGAAGGTGGTCTGAAGATTGTGAGATGATAAATGTGCATTAAGGTGCTAAATCTATGGTACTATTGTTACGCAGCCTAAACAACTAACACAGGTTTTATCACTGAATCATACCATATACTTGTCAGAATACGTGTGGATTTCTGCACCAGTACCAGGCACTGCTAAAATAAATAAGGCAATCTTCTAAGGTATGTACCCAGAGAGGTCAGGGGGGTGGTGGATCCCGTGAGGTGGACTGCAAACGTTTACCCTCAGTGAGAAAGGTTTGGGGCATCACCTTGAGTAGAGCAAGTACTGCAGTGTTGATGGGGGACAGACAGGCTGTGCTGAGTTTGATGGAAAACAGGGCCAATGCGGTAAGATATCAGTACATGACAAAGAAGGGCATTCTAATGACAAGAGCTGTACAAAATGGAATGGACAGCTTCAGAAGTCTTCATCAGAACGAAGGGCTGGGCTGCACCACATTTTGCATTCAGATATAATAAAGATCAAATTCTGTCTCCTTAGACAACAAGGGTCGTGTGCAACACAATGTCTGATGTAACACTACAACAAAGAATCTGGTGATAAGACGAGGTCATGCATTCACATCTACCCTTGTTTATATTTGGCTATAATTATAACTTACAGGGCAGATAAGGAAAAGTGAGTTGATAAGGAAAAAGATATGATTAGATGAAAGAGGGTAGAAAAGAAAGGTATGGATGAAAGCTTTCCTTCCCCATTTTCCATCCAA